TATTATATTTAATAGCCATTTTTCTTCCATGAATTACTTTCAATCAGTTTTTAACCCGTTTAGCATCTAGTACATGTTTTGGCAAACAATTCTTAGATTACTTTACATGTTGTTTGAAAAAGTATCTCTCCTCTTTTTTCTTGAATCTATCTTTTGGTATCTCCATTTGATGTCTCTGTATTCTTGTATTAGACAAAAGAGCATTTATTTCCTCTTCATGATTTATTCCCTCATGATTGTCACATGGAAAAATTGTTGATCTATGTGGTTTAAATCAAATCAACATCTAAGCGGTTTATTGATTTATTAATAACGGTTAACCAGCAATCAACCAACTACACATTCAAGATCAAGAGCAGCGATACAGCAGTTAACACCACCACTAGACATCCATAAAATGTTAATAAGCACCTGCAAATTTCTAAGCAGCCTTCTGCAGCTAATCTCAGAAGTTTTAATCCCACTGCACGCTCTCACATGCATGTTCACAGAATTACATATGCCCTACCGCCTTTTATAGCCAGCGTGCGTTACAAGCACATATCCCATTTTCAGGGGGCAGAGTGCAAGTCTGCTCTCGCCACACAGCTCCTGTTAGAGATGAGGGTTCTCTTGATTACTTTCGAATATGCTGTAGCACAACTCATGTCTGCAAAATTTCAGTAGGTAAATTTTTCCATTCTATCTGAAATTATCAAACTATTTATTCAGATAGTAGTTCTCTCTGCATAATTGATGCTGAAAAACAAAAATGTCTTTCTCCAAACTACAGAAAATGTCTGGTTTTCATTCACTATTTTTTGTTCCCATGTCTTATCTGGATAGGTACATATTTATTCTTTAGAATGAGGCCTTTAGGAATCATGCAGAAAAGGACATTTAGGTTTTGTTTCCATTGCTTTTAGCTTTTTCCCCGAGCTTTTCTTAGCTTTACCCACCTTTTTAGATAAATATTAGTTTACTTTCTCCAAAGATGCCACTACCTTCTAGATCTTACCTCACAGAATATCAAAGTCTTTTATTTTTATTAATTGAACCGAACTTCTGTGTGTTGTCTTTAATTTTATAATGAATATTATGGGAAGCAGAATGAAGCTTAGAAATAACAGTATCTTCAGACAAAAGAACGTTGTCAGATCTGTGTAAAGGCAAAAAAGGGCAAAGTAAATATAAAAGGGCAAATTGTCAACTAATTTCTAAATGTACAATTCAAATAAATGACAGTGTTTAGTATTATGGCATGCTATGAGCAACTGAGGAAATATTTTGCTTGCACAAATGGCAAACCTCTAGTTTTGTCCTTTTGAAGTTCTGTGTATGTTCATGATCTGAAGTCACTCACTGAGTTGTAATATTTTCATACACTTTTCATATGTTTTAATGGAGAGAGGAGAGGTTAGCTTTTGCATATTGAAAGGATTTTGGAGGGATAGCTTTGGCCTCAGACTATTGCACTGCTGAGAGCTACAGAGGCTTTATTTTTCTATTGCCAAAAGAAAAAGCAAGTACACTTAATCGCTGTCCTTTTTAAGGATTTGTGTTAGTGCCCGTTGCGTCTTTGTTTGGCAACCTCATGCTATAATAATTTAAACAAATATTAATACCGTTATCTCAAAAAAACATACTTAGTTATGAAAATATTTATTGTCAGTGCCCTGAAATGTCAAGTGTAAAGATATTTACCATTCTGGCTTTCATAAATGTCCCAGCATTGAAAAATCAGACATGACGCTTTTTCTGTTGAGGTGGGTTGCAGGGCAGTCCGCTGCAACGTCCCCGGTTCAACGTCACGGGTTTCAAGCTTTATTATTTGTCATGAGCACCCCACCATTTACGCAGAGTTGCATTTGTGGTTTGTGTGGAATGTAAAGTATT